CGATTGGGTATTTCTTGGATATCAATTCGATCATACGTCCAATTGTAAAATGCCAGAATAACACTCCTGTACTATTAAAGGCAGATTTTAAAGCCAATTTATTTATAGAAAACACTACTGAACCAACTCATGAAGTTAGAATAATCACAGAAGAAAGAGAAATAACTAGAGGTGATATTAAAAAGAAATTGTGTAATGTTGCTAATCTATTAAGTCGAAGAACAATATTTCAAAATGCTGTGGAATTTTTACAGATTTTTGAGAATTGTAAAAGTGATGATACTCAATATAAAAATGGGGAAATAAAGGATCCAAAATATGTCAAATGCAAAGGAAAACCCAAAACTATAACATCCAAATTGGTTGATAAGTCCCTTCGGTTCAAACATTTCGATAAAGAAAAAAAACCAAGAAGACCAGAAAAATAGTAAATAAATATTTTTTTTTTGTTTATTCGAATAATTTTTTATCGAACTTAATGTACATTAGAAATATAGTTTTTTTTGTGTAATAATTAAGTACTATAAAAAATTATAATAACAACTACTATTTCTAGTTATAAGTGTGATAAAAATGTGGTAAATATTAATTATAAATTACTATATAACAAAAACATCAACGTGTCGTGTTTGTGTTTAAAAGATATCCATCAGAAAATATAGTATTATATTATAGTAATTTATTGTTCATATCTAATAATCAATTTTCAATTGTTTTGAAAATTGATTACAATCAAAGGCGCCTATTTGTCGTAATTATAATTGTCGAAGTTGCTTAATTGTTGCACTACTGGCCAATTGTTTTGGTGTACAGTATGGTCACTCTGCCTTATGCAAAACTTTACCTTATGCAAGGATTTTATTATTTAATTTTAATATAACAAAACCATTTAAATAGTTAAAACAATTCAATTCTAAAAATACCAGACACGCTGCCTTATGCAAAAAGCTATTTTGAGGTAGTTTTTGGATAATTTTGAACAAGAAAACCAGAACTTTAAATTAAATAAATTAATGTTTAAAGTCTCTACACCACGACTTTAGCCAACGTAAAGAGAAATTCCCGATACCGGTTTGTATTTTTTTGTTTTGTAAAATGGTATATGATACTTACTACCAGCTTATCTCGTCTCCAAAAAAATACAATTACGCAAAAATATGTCAATGGCACAAACGATGTCAACAAACTCTCGTTGGACAGCGTTTTCTGGTACGTGAGTTTCTCATTTATGCTGGTGTCCAAAACATTGAAATAAGATGGGTTGTCATTGATTATCGTTTTAAAACGACCACACTCTTACGATGCTCATTGATCTTTATGTTGATTGAATAATTTAAACAATTTCCATATCAATTTAGTTTTAAAATTATATAAAATAGCATATGTTTTTTCTATTAAACTGCTATGAACACGAGAGTTATCACAACATATCAAATATAATAAACATAAATAATATTCTTTATTAAAATTTAATTTATTGTTTATTATCTGTGGGTTTTTTCACTAACAATAATAAAATTGAAATCATTCATTTTTTTAAATCCATTTTGTGTTATTTTTACCATTTTTGGAGGAATCCACAATTTTTTTTATATTATAAAATAACTATATATTATAACAGGTTCCTTGCATAAGGTAAAGTTCCACATAAGCTAAAGTGACCATACTGTACGACAATTAAATATTTTGTTCTCGAATCTGTAACTTTTGTTGAATTTAAAACTAAACTTTTTATAAAAAATAAATTTCAATATCAAAAAGAATTTTCTACAAAATTCACTCATTTACGACAAATACATAATTTTTTCTGCTGGATTTACAACAAATAGACGCCTTTGACTGTATTTCGTTTATTTAAGCATTTAACTAAGATCTTTTAATAACAATCAAAAAAAACTTATTTTAACAAGAAACAATAATATGAATAAAACATATTTTATTTAAAATAAATTAAAAAGTTATAATACAATTATTGCATAAATGAATAATACTGTTCCAGACTTTTTTCTATTTCTTCAATTCCCATTCTGTTGGTTGGTGTATGGTCCCAACATTTGGTGATTATAATTGAAAGTTCATTTGGTACTTTGTTAGGTATAAATAGTCTTTTTCCAGCACTGATAAAGTCTGCAATATCCCACGCATATTTAAATCTAACGTCACTTTTTTGAAAAGCTTCTTCCCAATTTACAATTTCAAACATAGTCATAGCAAGTGAATAAACGTCTGCCGATTTTTTGTACTTTTGCTTATTTAATATTTCTGGCGCCATGTACTTTGGTGTTCCAACACCTTTAGTGAATGTCATGTTAGTCATCAGCATATTCACATTCCTTGCACTTCCAAAATCAGTCAACTTAGCATTGACCTTGTCATTCAAATCAAGTGAAAACACAAGTAAATTGTCTGGCTTAATGTCCCTGTGTAATATCCCATTCTCATGTAAATATAAAATACCTTTAGACGCATCAAGACAATACTTTACTCGTAACTTCATATCTATTTCTTTACTTGTTTTGTGTTTTAAAACGTCTTTTAACGAGCCAAATGTAGCAAATTCAGTGACCATACACTCTTTTGATCGTATAAACACTGCGCCATAGAAGTGTGTGATATACTCACTTCTAAATTTATCGAGCATTTCGACTTCTTTTGTAAATTCAAACACTGCATTTTCACCATTTGAGTTGTCAACTTGTTTCATCTTTTTGATCGCAACAACATTTCCTCTGTATTTCCCTTTAAATACAACGCCAAAAGAGCCTTCTCCTATTTTCTTTTCTTCTATTAACTCGTCGTAATCAAGATGTGTAGAGTTCTCAACTTGTCCATTAATATGAATTGAAGTCGTGTTTTGTTTGCCAGTTTTTAAATTGAGTGAAATGATCACAATTTCATCACTTAAATTCATAGTACAAAGTGGAGTCAAAAAGACTTCAAATTCGCATGCAAATCCGCTTTTTAAAGTCACTATTTTGGGTTCTGTACGAATTTTGTATTTGTCGCATTTGTCTTTTGTTGTGATTTGAATTTTCACGTTACCTTTAGACGAGTTGCCAACACACAACAATTCACGACTTTCACTTTCAATTTGTATTTTGTCACTTTCATCACCAAATGAAATTTCATTTTTGTTTGATAGAATGTCACCATCTAGTTTAGTCATCACTATATTGGAGCGACTCATCTTAAAGACACAAATATTTTCAGTGTGTTTGTTATCTTTCTTTCTCAACACAAACAGAACAACAATTGTTATAATTGTCACAATTATAACAACAAGTACAATTACACACACAATTGGAAGACCAACAACTATACCATAATTCGTGTTTATAAAACATTCAATTTTGTCATCACTTAACTTGTAGTTGTCTGCACATTCCCAACAAAGTGAATTTTGTGATGATATGCAGTTTGGTATTTGTGAGAAGTGAACACACACTCCGTCCCTTAAAATGTTGTTATCACCACATTTTGAACACTCAAAAGTGGCATCACAATATGTGCAGTTTTCACCACATT